AAATTTCCCTAATGATGTCTCAAAATGTCAAATTAATATTCTTGGTGCCAACACTAATATCAATTAAGGTGGCCTAATTATGTTCAATAATTCACTAAATGTAAACTGTTTTACATTGATAATGATTTCAGAGGCCTAATTTTCCAATCTCGTGTTTCTAAATTCTTGCCCTACTTGAAACTCTTGGACTTCATCAAGCTCCAGCCTCCCAGGTTTCTTTTGCCACCAAAATTTGCTTCCACTAGCTTAGATCCAGTGGAATCATGCATGCCTTCAAGAAAAAGGTAACACTGTTAGTTTCCTAATTATATTTATTCTTGCAAAGTAAAATTGATTTTTTGCAACTCTCTCTTTTTATATATTTATGATACATCACAGTTTGTAGATTATAATCTTGTATTACACCTGACAACATTGATGCTTTAATTAAGTCCCAATTTAATTCAACTAAAAAAGTTGATTAGAATTTCAAGTCAAATTAAGTTAACAATTTATTTTGATAACATATTTTATAGAATCCATAACTTATCAAACTATTCAATCAACTTTCATCAAAACTACTAAATATTGATTTTTATTTAAACCAAACAGAGATTTAGTCTTAGTTGTATCCCTCGAACTTGTATTAAATGAAATTGATAACATCGTTAAATTACATAAGAGAATTGTGGGAAAAAGACCATGAAAGGTTTAGGAAATTATAAATTCATCTTCAACCTTGAAGACAAAAAGTCGTGCTAGTTTTTGTAAGGTTTTGAAAAGCAAAAATGATGCTGAAAATTATCTTTCAAGCTTCATCTCATGTTCTCTTCTCTAATAATAAAATTTGATTTTGTTTATTTTATATTGGTTTTTTAATTTTTTTTTTCATGTATATGGAGTATTGATCTATTTATATTAAAATCTATTTGGTGAACTTCTCAACCCTCAGCTTCAAACAAAGCTGCTGATTAGTTGCGATGTGCCTATGCCAAAAATCAACGTATGCTATGATGTCAGATGTTGATCCTTTCTCAAAAGGTCAGCCATCTTGTACGGTAGGTTTAGGGATTTTCATTATAAATCCCTAGTAATTTTTTATTATTTTATTTTGACTAACGTTTAGCACCCGTTTGATAACAATTTTTCACTTCAAAAAATCAATTTTTGATCATTATTTCACTATTTCAATCGTCATTTTTCACTGCCTCTCACATGTGGGACCCAATTTTCTTTTTAATGATCAAAAAATCATTTCTCATAATCATTACCGAACAAACTCTTAATTTGTTCACTAGTTTTAGCCACTCTCAGCCCTCGTTTGACATCCTTTATTTCAAAATTCTTTATTCTATGTACTCATTTTTTTAACCACATATTTACACAATAAAATATTTTATACGTAAATTTCAATTTTTCTTTTCTACTTTTTAAGAATTCATTCTCTTAAAATTCACTATTCAAAACATTAAAAATCTCAAATAATGGCCATCAAATGGGGGCTAAATCCTAGTAGTTGCTTAGTACTCCCTCTATCCTATGAAAATAAAATTGTTTTTGTTTTCACATAGATTGAGAAAATGTAATTAATATAGTTGCAAATATAAAATTTTCTTACATTTTCTTAATATATCCCCAAATTAAATAATCATTTAAATATGAACAATTCACATTTGTTGATAATAAGCATATTAAATAGGGACATGTTAGAAAATCGAAAAATCAACTACTTTCAACGAGAAAAGTGACTTATAATTGAGGATAGATGAAAAAAAAACAAAAACAAAACAAGTATATCTTTATGAGACAGAATGAGTATTTTATTTTGGTTAACATTTATTTTTGTACAATAATTTGAGTTCTAAATCCCTTGTAGTTGTTCATTATTTTAATTTGGTTAACGTTTATTTTTGTACACTTGTTCAAGGGATTCCCATTCAAACTCCCTAGTAATTGTTTATTATGCCCTGGTTTGACATCGTTAAAAAATTTGATTAAAATTTAAATCAAAGTTAACAATAATTTTAATCACACATTTCGTAGGATCTACAACTTTTCAATCATGTATTTTATTAATTTTTATCAAAATTTATTAAAATTTTTTATCTTAATCTCTACCAAATATGTGCTATATTTTATTTTAGTTAACATTTACTTTTGTACACTAGCTTTTCCCAACATTTCCCTTTTGAAATAGTATTTTGATAGAAAATGTGTGGTTAAAGAATGAGGAAAAGTTTTGAGTTTACGTATAATATTATTTTATTAAAGAATATGTAGTTAAAAATCAGAGAGGGAATAATATATTTTGAAAATAATGGATACCAAACATGGACTAATAATAAACTTATTTGATATATATTTTTATTGTGCGTATACTTACCGATCAAAACTGAAGGAGTTTAAGCCTTAGGTTGTGCATTTGAAGATGGGTTAATCTAAGCCTAATGGTCGGCCACATTGCTTGTGGGTCAAGATCACGTGCCATGAAACCGCTTTGCATTCAATGCTCCATATCACCATCAACAGCCTGTATATATATATGTTGTTGCTTTGGCCCATGACCAAAGTTTATTTTACATGCTTATTTATACTTTTAGTTTTGATAAATTATGACTTATTTGAGAGGATTTCTATCTAATTATGTGAAATTATGTGATTTGTGGGCAAAGATCAAGGTTGAGCGCAATTGGTGCAAAATGTGGTGATTTTGAGCTTAATTTGAGATTAATTAGAGTACTTGAAGATCATTTGGGGTTGAAATCAATCAATTGGAAGAATTTTCGGATGCCATTAGATGAAATTAAAAGATTATGAATGAAAAATTGCTAATTGGAAAGTTTAGGGACCAAAATTAAAGTTTTAGAAACTTGAAGGACCAAACTGCAAAAATAGGGAAATAGGCCGCGGGTCACCCACGGTTTGCAATATGGCCAACGGGTTTGCAACCAGCGGTCGCCTCCGTTGGAGCACATTTTTTTGATTTTTTTATTATTATTATTATTTTCTTTCCATCTTTTTGAGTTCGTTTTTTATGAGAACTCTTCTAAAAAAATCTAATACTATATTAAGACCATGGGGAGATGATTGCACAAATTGAGAATTAGAGAGAAAATATCCAAAAAAAAAAAAAAAAGGAAGCAAGAAATCAAGGATTTGAAGCATTGATTTGAGGCAAGAAGATTATCTTGGTGAAAAATTTATCACCTTCTCTACTTAATTCAAAACCTAGTAACGTATTCAATTATTATTCTTTGTTTCTCTTTATATATTATGAGTAGCTAAATTTTTTATTAAGGCGAACAAGGTAATTTATTAAGACTCTTCTATTCAATTTTTAATATTCTAGTTCTTTAAGTTATATGTGTTGATTTTATTTACTATGTTTAATTCTTGAATTCTTTGGCCAATTATTGTGAATCCATTACGAGTCGAGATGTGAGTTATGGGTTTAGATCACACGGTAAAATCTAGGAATTAGTATAAAAGCGTCAAGACATATTTTCTAGTTAATGTGGTTGTTACATGGATTTTTAGAAATTGAATGCATTTGATTAATGTTTATCTTAATTCAGATAGAGTAATAAAATTGACTTGGTTGAATAGAATATCAATTTGAACTCGAGAGAGGCATATTAAATGCGTTAGAAGAATTTCAACCAAGCACTACATTTTGTTATGAATTTTGATTAAAGAATTAAAGGTCATCATTAAATGAAATTGTATGCCATAATATTCATTCATATTTAAAAATCTAATTTGATTTTTGTGTGCATCCATTAACATTCAAATTGTTAGAAATAGTTAGACAACTATCACCACACTCTTAATTGTTTTTGTCAAATAGAGGTAGAAATAGTAAAGTAGGAATAAATAATAGATTTTGTAGGCATGATTATCCAAACTTAAAGGTCCATTCTACTACTTATTTAGTATCGTACACTTGCGATAAGAAAAACGTAACCACCAACAGCTTTAACTATCTTACGTGGCTTTGTACCCACAACCAATTAGCTTATGTGGCTTCATACCTATTAGTAAAATTATCGAATCCCTTTGATCTTCAAGCCCTATATATATATGACTTTCTCTTGTAGACATGGTACTACATCCATTGACGATGTGTCCTCATCAAGATCGTCGAACATGGAGAGAGGCATATTAATTTTTATCCATTTCGAAAAATATGGAGAGAACAAAAGTAGTAGTAATACATGATTCAGGAAAGAGGGTCGATTACGGGCCTTTCAGGGGTCAACCCTCCCCCTTTCTTGATGGCTGAGCTCAACAATGGATGTCGGCAGTCGACCTTGACCAATTAAGTGGTGGCACTTGTCCGAGGGTGACACAGGTCACCTTTTAGTACCCAATAATCAAACAACACATTATTCGAATTACTGGTATCATATTTGAAAACATTTGGAGTCGGATGAATTATATTAAGACACCTTATACAAGTTTAATACACATTAATACACAAATTTGAACTATATAATATTTCCCCGTTGCAGTCCATTCTTGAATTCGGTTAGGCAAACATTCGAGCGATCACTTTCACAGATCCAAATGCGGTCACAAGGCTCCAGTATATTACCTTTTTTCCCCTCTTAACTATGTACCATTTTATGGGTTCGGGGGTTATAACCTAATTATTTGTGAAGTAAACAGCTGTGACGCAATTTTGAATCTAACAGCCATGATTATCAAATCATGCGATGATGATGGTGCATTTGGGATCAACTTTTCCAGATATGGCGATGATACTGTGTCTGAGAAAACAAAAGCAAAGTCCAAACCCCATTCAAACTATTGTTCAACCAAAACAAAAGCTTCTTCCCCACCAAATCTGACGCACTGACACCATTGTACAGTGCCTCGGATTCTTAAACTCCATTTTGGATCTTCTGCACAAGAACCCTAAACCAGATAGCATGTAATTTGCAAACCTTTCACAGTATATATACAGATGTGTATATGTGTGTGTGTGTGTATATAGAAGAAAATGGTTAGGCTAAGAATGATGAAAAAGACAATAAAAGCCGACAAACTTTTCACCAGAAATACAAGTAACTAGTATTAATGGAGACTGGTACTAATAATAATAACAGGCAGCTACAACTTCAGCATCTTCCTCACAACTGGCTTACAATACTGATATTTCATGCTCCAAAACCAACTTAATTTACTTTACTTATTTGAAATAGGGTTTGGGCCACTTGGAACTTCATGAGCACCAGCTCCGAATTCTCCCCAAGTATGTGAATTTGGCCTCTTTTTAGGATGAACATGAACATCCATTGAATTTGTAGCAGACGCTTTCGGAGAATCCGGGACGAGACGCCTTGTGGAGGAAACTGCCGTCTTCATGGATGGTTTAACAGGATCAGAAGAGTGAACGAGAACAAGGGAGATGAAAAGAAATCCAAGAAGAAGAAGAAACATATATGATTTTGTAGAGGCTTCAGAGCTTGAAGACTTGGATTTTGCCATGCAATTTGGAAAACGAAAACCCCCCTCAAAAGAATCCATTAAATTAAAATCCATTAATCAGAAAGGAGAGGGGACAGGCAAAGGCAAAGGCAAAGGCAGATAAAAATGAGAGAAGAAGCTTCAGAAAAAGTGGAATTTTGAAATTCGATACACATCTGATTGTTGAGAGAACCAGCATATGAAAAAGTGACAGAATGAGGGCTTACCCCACTTTTTATTGTTGATTTTTATGGTATTTTCAAATGGCTAAACAATTATTATTTTAAAATGTACTTAATTACAGCTGGTGAAGGTACCAAACTACCTAAATGGTTTTGTTCTTCTGGATTTAGCCTGAGTAATATAGGTACCTGTGGACTAATTGACAGATGTTGGGGACGAAACAAGGATTTATTTATTATATAGATACTTTTCTTTTCCCTATTTAAAATAGGTTTCCATGGAAAAATACTAAAACATATTTAAATTTCCCTTCTTCTTCTTCTTCTTCTTTTTTTTTTTCATTACACAATAGCAAAAAAGGTGATGCAACATTAAGATCGGTTTCTAATAACTATTTTAAAATGCATATGAAACTATATATTATGGTGTCATCAACCTTTTTTCCAAGGAGAGGAAACCTCTAGATCAATTTCTAGTAACTATTTTGACAGGCGTATTACATTATCGAGCTTAAATCGATTTTTAATTATATTTGACATGCGTATTACACTATTTATGGCTGCTAGCCAACCAACAAGTAATAAATCTTTTGCTACATTTTCTTGATTGCCAGTTGGAAGACCTTGATATGTACTAGATTTAACCAAGAAATCAATGAATTAGGGATATAGGCATTTCATAGGCAAACCACAGTTTACTCCTTTATTCATATAGCTGTATGTGTGTATATATGTGGGGGCCATTCATGTGATCCACAATGAAGAATCTTGAAAGAAAAAGAGGGCACCAAGTGAGATTGTGGTGACTTTTTCTTCCTTGGTCGGTTGCCAGCCAAATAAAATTCCAATATATTTTGGGCTGTACTGATGCTATTTTATGTTTGGAAACATAGTTTTCACTTTCTTTGTATGTTTTTGCTCCTGTTGTTGGTTTGTTTGTTTGTTTTCAAAGAATGTCTATTTCACACCCTCTTGTAAAAGTCGAGGTGGGAGAATTGTGTGTAAAGGTCTCTTATTAACTTATTCATCATTGAACAAGATATAATTAACTCATATTTGGTTGAATTAAAAATTTAACTAAAATCTAATTTAAAGTCAACAATTAATCTTTAACCGCACACATTCATGGAACACGCAACTTTTCAATTACATTTTCCATCAATTTTTTATTAAAATCTACTAAAATTTTGATTTTTATCTATAACAGGGGTTCAATGTAAACTAAAAGTTTACAAGGGAGAATGAATTTTAAAGGAGACTAACTGCTTTATACTTGACTACCCTAGGGATAAATAAATTTAATATTTTGCAAATTCATATTTCCCTATTTTTAATACTTGTAAAGTAAATTATTTTGGAATAAAAAATGTTTGAGCTAGCGTTTGGGAAGCGTTTATAAATAGGTTGAATAATAAAAGAACAGAAATGAGTGATAAAAAAGTGAATATTGCTTGTAGGTCCTCTAAATTTGATAAAAAGCTTAAATATGAATCAAATATTGACTTAATATAATTAATTGAATGTTCTTTTATTAGATGAAGTTATCTATTGTGCCTTGCTTTTCATAAATAAGCGTTTTAAAGTGAATTTCTTCAAAATAAAATAAAAAATAACATGGACTGAGAAAAAAAATAAAGATTGTTGGGAAGAACTTTGCCATATGGCATTCTGTCATTGGACAGGGGCCAAAAAATTACAGTGTTAGCAGTTAATGCAATGTTGCCAACACTACATCTGCAATTTTTTACTAAGTAGTTTAATTTAGTTGTGAAAGGGAAGTGGCAAAGTATGCCTCGTCTCTGCCATAGGATCATATGACGCATTGCAGGGGTCCCTACATCCTCATGCTTTCTATATGCAATGATACGCCTTTCTTTTGATTTACAATCGACGCGCAACTTCATATTGATTAGGTCGAATTTATTTTGTTATCCAAATTTTAATATATACATAATTTTTTATAAGGATCCATTTTGTCACATCCAACCATGCAGGCTGAATTAACTTAATGGTGACAAACAAAAGCTAGGGTCATGATCGGGTACCTAATAGTCGTATCCATCCATGTCTCCAAGCACAATATCTTTTTTCACGTTATGAATGAAATTTTTTGGGGACTAATGTTACTAGATGCATATTTTATTTTATTTTATTTCTCTAACCATTCAAGATGACATGTTTTATTAATAATGAAAAATAAATAAAATGCGGGCATAGAAAAGAGCTTGATCTAACCTCCAACTAAAGGGGCAATAAAAAAATTTATCCCATGAGAATACTTCTTGTGATCATAGATTGAGTGTAGTCTTTTCTACTTCTCATCGTTTTCGGTAGGTTTTCGATTTCAAAAATCATTTGAGAAATTGTTCAAGATTTGTATACTAGTTTTACAACTTCATTGAGCAGCCAAACACTTGGCTGGTCACCCAAATCTTCTTTAGCTCAAATAATGGGAAATCCAATAAAGAATAAAAAGTTAAAATAAAATAATCATATTATCAAGCAACATGACATCAAACCAAACCTACAAGTCTCTTATTTTCCCTACATAACGCACCAATTCTCATGACTCGTGTGCGCATTTCCCTATATCCATAACAATTTGCTTCAAAAGCCAATGAATCCAACTATGAAGAAACCATTGAAAACATGATTGCTAACCACCAAAATATTATTAAAAGATTTTCAACATCTCAAGACAAGACAGACTCGATCAATGCTATCTTCACGGTCTTCCTTTTTTAGGTAAGCTCCAAAAATCCTGGACTTCCATGCTATTTTGTCCCCCAAATGTCAATAAATTGAGGTAATTGTTGTTAGGGGTTGCTTGACAAAACTCTTGATAAAAAAATTTGAAAAAAAAAAAATAATTAACAGATTTTAATAAAAGTTGACGAAATGCGAAATTGAAAAGTTGATCAAAATCCTGGTCCCATAAGATGCGTTATATTAAAATTAATTATTGACTTTAACAACTTATTAAGTTATCCCAAACGAACACTTAATTTTACTGCCATTTAATGTAAACTGTACGTTTCTTTTATTATAAAAAAAAAAAAATAATAATAATAATAATAAAAAGAAAAGAAAACACTATGAAAACGTTGTGTTAAAAATAATTATTTATTTTTAATCATATTTAACCTTAATCTAAACTCTAAACACTTGAAGACTTTCGTGGCATAAGGTTTAAAGCTTACGATTAAGTAAACTTTTAGTTGAATCCCGTAACTGACCTCAAACCAGCAATGCATGCAGTCGATAAATTCTTTTATACTCAAATTCAAAACCATTTATCTATTCCTTTATCCTCCTATCTTTCTCGACAAAAAGAACAATTCCTACTCTTTATTCTTAAGTTCAGAAGAGAATTTCTGTGAAAAGAAGTTTTCGGTATCGCATATAGCCTCAACGCATATTATTTTTTTCGTCTTAATTAACTCGTATTGATATCTTCCACATATTCTTTTCTCAATTGTATGAAATACGCTAATTTCAACCTCACACATAGCATCAGAGCATATATTTTTTGACAATAGCTTAACGAATATGACACTTTCTTTTCTTCTTCATCAACCCGTTATTGGTATCTTCGACATATTCTTTTCACACTTGTTCAAAATACGCTAATTTCAATACATGTGGAATGATATTTATGGCATGTATTTAAAAATTCGGCTTCTATGCCATAGATAAATTGGGGTATCGTAGAAAAAAGAAATCATTAATCCTCGGTTAGGTAGTGTTTTTTAAGAATATATTTTAAGAAAAGTAAATTTTTTTTTTTTAAAGAATTCGTTGAAAATATAGAAAAACTTAAGAGTCCACATGCAATATTATTTTATTGAAAAATATGTGATTGAAAATGATTTTTTAAAAAATGGAAAATGAGTTGCAAATTTTTTATGAAATTACGAGCCACTTTTAACATTTTCCATAACCAACACCTAAGGTGTCATAGAAGTTTTACTCATGTATGCAACCATACATGAGTAACAACTTCGCAAATTGTTGGTCACAGAGAATCCAAGCAGCACCAAGAACAAAAGTATTTTAGCAAGAAATAAAGAAGATGAACGCAAGAATTTCTCAATGCTGAAGGTCCACATGTTTACGCGTTTTAGACGCTACTCACAAATTAAGCATCTAACACAATAAAGCTCAAAACGCACTAGCACTGCCAAAATCAAAGTCTTAGCATATCTCTCTAATTATATCGATTGATCAAAGCATAATTTGTGTAATTATGTAATTAGAGCATCATTTGTGTAATTAGCATTAATTACTTACTTTATGTGTTTGCCTCCTTCACATATAAAAGGATGGCTCTTGTACAATTTTATTCAACACAGAATACAGAAATTATTCACAATTCTTTCTCTATTCTCTTAGTTTTAACATGGTATTAGAGCCATTTTTAGTTCTTGGCCTCTAGATTGGTTTTTTTTTTACACGCATTCCGTTGCATTGTTGCTCCAGAGCTTTCGTTTGGTGCAAAAATCACTCCCATCGCCACATCTGTTGTCGCTCGTCGTCATCTCCAATGACCTTCCAGCTACTTATCTGGCCAATTTTTCATGCTCATTCGATTAGCCCTGTCCTTTTGCTCTAACTCGGTTAGCATTATCATTTTTCTATTATAGCTTCTTCAAATGATGTTACTCACCCTATAGAGATTGTTTTGAATGGCTCCAACTACAATGCTTGGGCCCAACAAATGTCAGTTTTTTGATTGGTCGAAAATTATGACGTTTTGTCTCTGGAACAAAACAAAAACCCACAAAAACTAACAAGCATTCCACAGAGGAGTTGATGAGGCCTTCGATGAATGGAAAAGTACTCACTGTAAGATCCTTTTCTAGTTTATTAATACATCAGCCCTTTCCATTCAGAATCTACTCCTTAAGTTCTGGAATGCCAAAATTGCTTAGGATTTTTTTAGCAAAACGCTACAACTGTGGTAGTGATGCTACTCTAGAGTTTCAGTTGGAGACTAAGCTTTCCCTGATGCGTCAGGAACCTGGACAGTTTATCGCCGAGTTTCATGCTCAGGTTAGTAACATTTGGGATCAACTTTCTCAAGCTGACCTTGCTTTTTCTGATGAAAAGTCGATTATGCTTTTCACTGAATATCGTGATCGTTGTCAGTTCATGTATTTTATGATGCATATCCGGGATGAATTTGAGAATACTCAAGCATCTTTGTTCCATCGATCTCCTCTTCCTACACTTGAGGTTTCCCTTACAAAGCTAATTTCTGAGGAAACACAACAACAAACTCTTTGGGTTCATTCTATTGATATGGTCTTGGTTACTGCTAAGTCTAGCTCATCTACTCCGGTCCTGTTGCAACTGTTGCTTCTTCTAAACCATGACGTTTCAGCAGCCAATGCCACTATTGTAAGGAAGATGGCCACCGCATTTCTGATTGTCCTAAGAAGAAGGCTAAGGATACTAGGGATACTCTTAATGCTAATGCATCTTACTCTTCCAAAACCTATTGCTGTTGTCTCCACCAGCTCCTCGGCTTCTGATTCCTCTTTTGCACCTTCTTTGTCGTCACTTTTTGCAGCTGACTTGAGGCAATTGTCACCCAGGTTCTATCCCGTGCTTCTACTGTTCTATCAGTGTCCACAGGTAATTCTACATCTTGGTTTCTTGACTCTGCCTCTTGCAATCATATAACCTCTGATTCCTCTTTAATTACCCATAGAAGTCTTTAAATCCTGCTCCTTTTATTTATATTGTCGATGGTTCACATATGTCTATTAGTTATTTTGGTCACATTTCTACTCCTACTCTTTATGTACCTGACACATATGTTGTGTCTAACTTATCTCTAAATCTCCTTTCTATTGGTCAACTTGTTGAAAGTGGTTTTATTTTAACATTTTCTCACAAAAGGTGTGATGTGAAGGATTCGAAAATGGGTTAGCTAGTTGAGACCGGGTGTAAAGTTGATCACTTTTTTGAGCTTATATCTCTGAATTTGCCTAGTTCTTGTTTTCCTCAATCTCTTAGCGCTGCTATATCTTCCAGTGTTTGGCATTCTCGTCTCGATCATACATCTTTATCTCATGTTCAGTCTTTAGCTTGTAGTGGTTAATTGGGCAATGTTAAATTTGAACATTTTGATTGTGTGTCTTGTCAACTTGGGAAACAGAAAACTTTACCTTTTAATGAAAGTAATTCTTTATCTTTTGCACCTTTTGATTTGGTTTATTCTGATATTTGGGGACCTGCTCATATCTCTACTAAGGGCGAGTCTCGTTACTTTGTTATTTTTATCGATGATTATTTTCGGTATACATGGATTTATCTTTTGCATGATCGCACTGTGTTACTTAATGCTTTTCGCGATTTTAAGCAGATGATAAAAACTCAGTTTGATCTCACCATTAAAGTCTTTCGGTCTGATAATGCCATAGAGTATACTTCTACCTCTTTCCTTGAAGAACTTCAAGAGGCAGGGACTTTGTCCCATCGATCCTGTCCATACACCTCCCAACAGAATGGTCGTGCAGAACGTAAGCATCGTCACATTCTTGACATTGTTTGCTCTCAACTTCTCTCTGCATCCCTCCCGAAATTCATTTGGGGTGAAGCTGCCCTTACCGTTGTTTACACTATTAATTGAGTTCCAACCCCTACTCTCTCCAATAAGTCTCCATATGAGGTTCTCTATGGAAATGCACCTGATTATTTTCTTCTCAAAATATTTGGTTGTGCTTGCTTTGTCTTACTTCCACCTCATGAACGTACAAAACTTGAACCTCTTTCTTGTTCTCGTTTATGTTGCTTTCTTGGTTATGAGATTGAACACAAGGGTTATCGGTGCTATGACCCCATAGCTAACCATCTTCGAGTCTCTCGATATGCTCAATTTTGGGAACACAAAGTGTTCACTAGTAGCTCTCCATTTTCATCCGACTGTCTCTCATACTCTTCCATTTTCATTGACCCTGCCATAGACCTCTCCCCAGATTTTCCTCTAATGCAGGTCATGTCAGCTCATCTGGTGATCACTCTATGCCTACCTCTCACGAAACTAGATCGTCTGAAGATCATGTCATTGCATCCACTCCTCATGAGTCCTCTGATTTGGATGTTCCTCATTCTAGTAGGGCAAGAGCACCTCCCACCAATCTTAGTGATTATCATTGTTTTTCTACTCTTGACTCTCTTCACAAACCTCGCAATTATCGCTAAGCTTGTTCTGGCCCTGTTTGGCAGCAAGCTATGTCTGAAGAACTTGAAGCTCTTCACAAAACTCATACTTGAGATCTGGTTGAGCTGCCTCCTGGAAAGACTATAGTTGGAAACAAATGGGTGTATAAAAGGAAAACGAACTCCGATGGTTTTGAAGTAAGACATAAAGCTGGTTTAATGACAAAGGACTTTACTAAGGAGTTTGGCATTGACTACGAGGAGACATTTGCCCCTGTTGCTCGTATTACCTCCGTTCGTTCTCTTTTGGCTATTGCCTCTGCGCGTCGATGGCCTTTATCTCAAATGGATGTCAAGAATGTCTTTTTACATGGTGATTTGGCTGAGAAGGTCTATATGCAGCCTCCTCCAGGGTATCATCATCCTCCTGGTAAGGTCTGTCGTCTACAATGTGCATTATATGAGCTTCAGCAAGCTCTCCGTGCTTGGGATGCCAAGTTCAGTTTCACTATTGCAAAGCTTGGGTTTACTTCTAGCCCCTATGATTTTGCTCTTTTTACTCATCACACTGGTATCACTATCTTACTACTTTATGTTGATGATATGATCGTTACTGGTGATGGTAATTCTGGTATTCATGAGCTTAAGCAATTTCTGTGTCAGCATTTTGAGATGAAAGACCTTGGTTCTCTTAGCTACTTCTTTGGCTTAAAGGTGTCCCCTTCCTCTGATGGCTACTATTTGACCTAAGCCAAGTATGCTTATGATCTTCTCACCAATGCTAGTCTCACAGATTGTAAGATAACTGATAGTCCGCTGGAGCCCAACATCAAACTTCATCCTACTGATGGGGAGCTCCTTCCTAATGCCACTCGTTATTGATAGCTCGTTGGGAGTTTGATTTATCTCACTGTCACTAGACCAGACACTGCCTATGCAGTGCATCTTGTTAACCAATTTATGTGAGCCCCTCATTCCCTTCACCATGCAGCTGTTCTTTACATCTTACGCTATGTAAAGAAAACATCATTTCATGGGCTTCACTTTTCCTCTCACTCATCCTCGACGTTGAAGGTTTAGTCTGATGCTGATTGGGCAAGGAACCTTATTGATCACCGATAACCAAAAAGAACTACTGAATAACTTAGTAAAATGGATATGATTGCTATGGATGGTCCGATACTGAAATCTTTGAAAAGGACTTTCCTTCTTAAGAAAGAAAAGATTTACTATCTTTGGGATTTGATCCTACATCGCTGCTCAAGCGATCAATCCTTTTGCCCCTCATTCTTCGAGAATCAGAAAGATCATTTTCAAGTTTGAATTTGTTCATTTGGAATTCGGGTTCTTCTACTTCGGGGCAAAAACTCTCTTTGGGGCAATTTATATTATTAATATAATAAATTGAAATTGTATTTTTTTATAGGATCTCCTTTTATAACTAGACTCAAAAATCGATCAGAGTTCTTTTTGTATCACTTTGCCTACATCTTTCTTAGTAGCAAGGTCGAGGGAAAGAATAGAAAAAGTGAATTCACTATTTCTACACATGCCTTTTTTTCGGTGGTCTGCAACCGTTATGTGGCATAGGGGTCACTGCCAGAAATACTTGGCCTACTAAAGGAACAAAAATAGAGATGGAAAATTTGCCCACTGATTTTTATCAACTTGCAAATCCTGCCTCAGTTAGTTAAAAGAATGAAATTGGCTGATATTATGACCTCGATTTGGTACTGCTCTCATAGCCCGCACCGAAACGATAGCTAATGCATTCCACTTATTGAACAGGGTTCTATGGTCGGTCCATGACCTCTGGATGCCAAAGGCGCACTTCTACCACTAGTTTTCTTTTTCTACTTAGTGACTCCCTTACCTATTGGCGGAGCAAAAAGTAGACCGTGGTTGCTCGCTCTATCATCGAGGCTGAGTATCGAGCCCTTGTTGACGCTACTTCTGAGCTTCTTTGGCTTCTCCAAGATATGTGTGTTCCTTAGCCCTCTAGCACTCCGCTTTATTGTGACAATCATAGTGCTGTCTAGATCGCTCATAACTATGTATTTTATGAACGCACAAAACACATCGAGATCGACTGTCATTTTGTGCACCATCATCTTCAAGAAGGGATACTTTGCCTCTTGTCAGTTCTTTTTGCTAATCAGTTGGCTGATATTTTCACAAAGGCTCATCCACCTAGTCGCCATCGTTCTTTGGTTAGCAAACTCCAGTTAGCATTTTCAATACCACCTTGAGTTTGAGGAGGGATGTTAGCATATCTCCCTAATTATATTGATTGACCAAAGCATGATTTGTGTAATTAGCATTAATTACTTACCTTATGTGCTTGCCTCCTTCACCTATAAAAAGGATGGCTCTTGTATAGTTTTATTCAACACAAAATGCAGAAATTATTTACAATTCTTCCTCTATTCTCTTAGTTTTAACAGAAAGCAAGGTTTAATGCAGATCAGATTCACCAAGAATTACCCCGCAAAGGCACAAGAACAAACCCAAACACCACCAGAATTACATACTGGTTAAAGAAAATCGTCATGCCCCATACTACCTTTTTCAACAAGTACAAACAGGTATATAACTACTAGAAGACATTGAACATTGTTCAAGCCAAACGATTCAAAAAAACTGGAACTGTTTTCCAATTAGCTTTGCAAGGAATGGTCCAACCTCCCCATGAGGAAAGGATGAGCATATCACGAATAACAACAGTAACGGGAGGTGGGGGTAGGAGAGAACAACTTTCATGGTCCCGATGCAATAGAGATGCAAATCAAAAAACATCGGTTACACGAGAGAACAACACCACCATTTCTTAACATAACTGCATTGGAAGAATACCCAAATCTGATGCAAGGAGAATAGAGAGTATATGAGCTCAAAGATGACGGGATCTCAAGAAAGTGAAAGATAAATCTTCACCACCAGCAAAACTAAATAATGGCTCATAGCTTTTGGACATAATGAATATCTCACAAGTTCAAAGGGCAGCTTACAAGAAATTTCAATAATGTAAGAATCTTCAAAGGGACTAGGCCAAAAAAATGTTTGTGCATTAGAGATTAGACGCTCAATTTCATTGTGGCACTCTTCGATGATTACAGATAAAAGCACATTAGTCCAATTAACGTGTCCTTTAACTTCTATTTTTTTTGTTGCAAATGCATTTTTCTTATGACGAAAGTATCATTTATTAGAGTTCTTTAATTTCTCGTTGTCATGAACAAGTGCCTCATGGAAAACCAACACAAGATGTTATAACATCGCTTAGTACTAAATAAAACATATGATAATTACATGATATCTAGAATGCTCTATTACGTATAACATCTCAATGAATTTGATTACCACTTAAAAAACGAAATTCAAATGCTAAACTCGCCAAGTTCTATTACAAATCCCACAAAATTAACATAAGTGACCAGTAGCGGAAAAGAAACATCATGAAAATTAAATGAAAGAAAATCTATAAACAAACACTTACCATAAAAGGCAATTGAAAGTGAAATGATCGAATTTCCGCTATACAGCTATTAGAAAAAAAATCGAAGAACTTGATTTTTGGCGAACGCAAACACATTCCTAACCAGGAATGGAGAAATGAGAAAATGTCATGGAAAGGGACGCTTTGTGTATTTGTAGAACACATTTAATGCAATTGCGTAGTAATAATAATAATAATAATAATAATAATAATTATTATTATTATTATTATTATTATTATTATTACTACTACTACTACACAAGAAATCGACTTGTTCTTGAAGTTGATACAAGATGATTATTTTATTATACATGAAAGGGTGCGCGTGAAAGTGAGAAAAATATTAATAGCATGTGATAAGTTGATTCTTAGTAATAATTGAAAGTTTGTTAATTCTAAATTGTAATAATAAATAGTCTATTGAGTTTTCAAGATTAAGGAATAAAATGAAAGAAGTGAAAGAAAAATGAATATAATATTGGTTTTTTCATGATTATTAAAATTATTTAGTAAAATGAGGAAAAAAATGTGAAAATATACAATTCTTAAAATTTAAGGGGTTTTCCTTGAACACTAACCAGCCTTAACGACCCCCGAATTCGCATACAATCTAATCTCTTAAAATTAAGTCAATCCATGTCACATAAATTTATAAGAAAAATGTTCATTCTTCAAATTAATAAGGTGGCAATAAATTAAATTAAAAGTAAAAACAGTCAAACTCTCTTTACCACTTTAAATGATTGTACTTATGTAATATAAATTAATGGCAAAAAAAATTTGAGGAAATTTTTTAATTTGATTAGTAAGATTTTGACTCAATCAATACTTATCACATCATCTATTAGTAAACAAATCTGTAAATTGTGATTTATGTATAACACAACCAAATTTATTATTGCAAAAGTTACTAACTCGTAGAGGATTTTTTCCGGAGTACAGGGAAAACTTACAAAATCCATACAGGATTTTGAAATGAACAAATCCTATTTGTCTGTATTTTATATTTTTTCTTATCTTTGAAAGATGTTTTGGCACCTGTGTCTGTAAAAAAATTCCTGTGCAAAAAACCCTATTCTTGTAGCAAAACTTATTCGTAGAACATCACTTAACAAAAATTTATTTCATGCATGTTTACACTTTCTTGGACTTCATCCTGGGAAAATAAATAAATAAGAGAGAGAGAAAACTCATTCAATTCACAGCGTCGAAAGAGGAAAGGTAAAAGGCTAGCCAAGAGGCAAAGGAAAGTCAAAAATATTAATCCAAAGAAGAATACTTTAGCACTTGGGGCCGTGGCGCAGTTGGCTAGCACGTAGATCTCATAGCTTCTGAGGTATCCTGAGGTCGAGAGTTCGACCTCTCTCACCCCATTCATCTTTTTCAATTTTGCTATGGACCCATATAGAACTAACTTTATATAGGCTTTTAACCTTTGTTAGAAAGTGAGACATAATTTGAACTCCACTTTCCAATTTATTTTTTATTTTTTAGTTTTTTTTATCTGAGAATATTTTATGAAGTGATTTTTGCACTGCAAATCATTGTATATATTGATATAAGCCTATTTTTGCATAGTGAAAGTCGATATTCAAGAAATTATCAACCCATTGAGAATGGAAATTGATTATCTGAAAGAAAGACAGGACTACTTTCTAACATGGAAGATGAAGAATATATATTCGTTAACAAACGCATTATCAATAACTAGTCCTCTTCTGATACCTCCAAAGGCGAGTCTTCATTGGTCGAGCCTGGATCGATCTTGTCACCTTCAACAAGTGAGGTCGGCTGGGAGGATGAAGCCGCTGAAGAGACACCATTACTAGCTGTAGTCATATTTGGTTCAGAAGGCTTGGGAATAAGTCCTTGTGCTTCCAAAGCTTCACGCGCTGCTTGCTTTTTGGCTCTTTCGGCTCTTTCCAACACATCCTCCTGCACACATTCATTTCATGTTAGGACATTTAAAATTTTCTTCGCAGACGAAGGTTTATGAAGGTTTTCATCTTGTTTCAAAACTCTCAAAGGAGCGTTCAAACCATTTGATGCGAAGAGGATTGATAAATCAAGCAAGACAAGATAGAAGTCTCGATGCCCCTATTTGGTTCTCTTTATTTCAAAACTCACTTTTTCTCGAACTCATTTTCAGCTACACATTCTTCAAATAAAATATTTTGTATGTAAACCCAAATTTTTCCTTATTTTTTAACCACACATTCTCCAACAATTCACTATTATAAAACTCGTTTTATCAAATAATGTCCATCAAACAGGACCATATCTAAAGGGAGAAGTTGCAAATGTAGCACACGAGAAGAGTTCAATTTAATGACCATCCTCCTAAAGGATATGATAAAGAGGGGCAAAACGAGTCTAAGCTGCCAAGAATCAAAAGGAAGAAAAACCTAAAATCGCCCATTGAATCAGATAAAATAGACAAAAATGTAAGAAACTGACAACCTGAAATCCAGCAATATGCAATCTTAATTTAAGAAAGTGCAGATTTTTTATCTTAACAGTCTAGTTCTTCTCAAAAAACAAACGTGAAAGCTGATGCGAGTTCTCACTACACACGACTTCAAAGATGATGTTATTCACTTTTTCTCTCCCTGAGGGGGTAAAGAGGATCCTGAATAAGAGTTTTGAAGGGTTTTGCCATATTGTTTTTCTTTACAACGGTCTAGATGGGGGACATATGCCTGTTTAGCCTTCTGAAGATCTCAATTATGGTTTTCTTCCGCCCCATTTATCAGTACAGCGATTGTCAGAATAGGATAAATTACTAGATGGATGGCTTCACTGGTCGGGGACATGTTTTGCATGGATATATAGAGGTTTTGAAGTTCTTCACCCGCTGATTTTGCAATTGTCTAGCAATAAATAGCTTGGAGTGATGACATAGAATTCATATCTTTTACTCCAATTTAATTATTATTATTTTTTTTTATGACCGTGGTTGTCCAAACTAGCTTACGCGCGCCTCGACTTATCTCACGGAGCCTTGAATTTTACATTCGGTACCCACCTCAATGGCTTGAAGGGATGCGAACTAGTGACCATTAATGTTTTACTCTACATTTAAGAGACAACTGTACAAACAAAGGCATCCATTGCAGTAAACACAAGTTCTCACGAGAACAGTTTGGTTCCATGACAAGGCTGTATGAATATCGACCCTAAATATCTTACAAACTATGAAAAATCCATTTCAACAATTAATCATATGTAGACAAGCCCATTCCAAGAATGAGTACCTGAAATTCTTGAACTTGTTTTTGTTGCTCAGCTTGCAATCTACCAATAGTACTTATGAACTCCCCCAGAGTCGACTCTATACGCTCGTTTAGTGCTTCTGCCAGAGCCTTCCCAAGGAAGAATGCATCTAGAACACTTCTACTCTCATTCTCACCTGCAAAATGTGGAATAATTTCCTTTGTTTTGCCAATGTAAAAAAAAAAAAAAATGGTAGAAACTATTGTTGGACTCGGAGCAAATATGATAAAATCAGCATATCACTAAGAAATTTAACTTGATTCGGTAATCTTGTTTACATTTTTCTGTGGGTAATATTCAAGGCATAATCATCGGTAATAACGCATTCAAAAATATTTCAGACAAAAAATAGCTTCAAATTTACCTTAAAACAAGTGAAATCTATCATGGGCTTCTATCTTTTTGACAAATTTAATGAAAAATTGGGGAAAAAAAATGAAAGGGAAAAGGGTTACCAGGACCAGATTCACCAGGTTTGGAACTACAATTGCACCTTAAATTGATTCTTGGAAATTTGTGCGACCCAATTGCAATTGGCCTGAAATAAGAGAAAGAGAGTGGATGGTGAAGTGGGGTGCGTGGACAATAACTCGGTGGGGATGCCGTGACTCCCCAACTCATTTTCTTGGTTCAATTCTCTCTTCTTTTTTCCACTCTCGTCAAGAAATTTGGGCGAGGATCCTTGGATTTGGATTGGGGGACACAACTATACCATCTCGTAGGTCGGCGTCACACCTCGAAAATTCTATGATTTCTTAATTTTTTCTTGCTTTCTTTAGCTTTTGTTTGGTTTAGCTATTAGATTAAAATTAATAATTAAATTATAATTCTTCAATCATTTATTTATCAATCTTTAGTAAGATTCATTAAAAATATAAATTTTATCTAAATAAAAGTGAGGCTAAAAGAGTGGTGGCGCTAATCGAAGAAGTCATCGAAGGAAGGGGTAGAGACCTTGCTAGCGTTTCAACTTAGTTGTTTTCGTTTATTATAGCTCCTGTCTGGTTTAACTTAAAAAATTATTTAAAATTGAATTTTACAATTAATAACTAATTTTAATCAAATATTTTATAATATTCACAACTTATAAATTATATTTTATCATTTTTTATTAAAATAATTATTATTTGTTTGAGCCCCAATTTTTGGGTAAAATAAATACCGTAATAGTAATTTTTAGAAGAATGTGTAGTTAAAAAGTAAGAAAAAAATTGAATTTATGCATAAAATTATTTTATTGGAATAATTTGTAATTGAAAAAGAGTTTAGAAAAAAAGGGGCCCGATAAATACGTGTTTTAGTTCTCAATTTTGAGTTCATTTTCACATTTCTGTTTTGAATGTCTGTTTTAAAATTGTTTATTGACTTGTCATTTTGAAAAATTATTTCTCATAATAAAAATTAGAAAACATGTTTGCTTTTAAATTTTTATTGTTTTATTACATTTTATTCCATAAAATTTGATTATTCAATAAAAATAGAACAAATTTATGTTAATATATTATTAATTAATATTTACACTTTAAAAAGTCCGTGAATTTTACAATTTTTTGCTAGCTACAAAAGGAAAGTAAAAACAAATAATAAATTGAGTTTAAAACATAGAAAATAAAAATAAAAATTAATGACGTGGACTATGAATAATTTTTATCCATATTCATTTAAATATAATTTTTAGAATTTTTATGTAAATAATCATTAAGAGTTAGAATTATTTTTATTTTCTTAGAAATTCTTATAATTTTATTTTTTTCAATTTTTTTATGTTTTTGAAAAAAAATTCCAAATTTTTAAATTTTATTTGTTAGAATTTTATCATTTTTAATTTTAAAAATTTATTTAAATAAATTTTTATTTAAACTCCTATTTTTCATATTCTATGTATTTTAAGAATTTTCACTAAAAAACATTCAAAAAGTCAAAAATGCATTTTTGAGTTTTTGTTATGAATTTAACTTTATTTTCAAAATTTTATTTTTAAAAATACTAGATTAAGCTCCTGTTTGTTTCTTATTCTTTCTCCAGTAAAATGAAAAATATGACCGTTATTATCACATCAAACCACAAAATTTGAATTTCTAACTTTTGTGTAGGCCTATAACGACTATATTTTTATTATTTTTTAAATACGTTTTTGGTGTTATATAAAATTGAAAACAACAAATTAAATGCACCATAAATTTTTGTAGAATGAGGCTCAAATATGTACTTAATTTTTAACTACAATAGCATAGTTTATTTTAATTTTTAAAGTTTTTGGATTTCCATTCGAAATCTGAACCTTTGACATTTTTACATGTTTGAATCTCGTCGTCCCCGCATTGTCACGCTTTCTCTCCCTGACTTTTTCTCTCTCTACAAGACCCCATCATAAAACTCTCCATCTCTCTCTCATTGACACTTTCTCTCTCTCTCTCTAGATTCTATATTTGTACGTAGAGAGGGTTAGGGTTTACTGTGAGGTAGAGGGAAATGGGGCAGCAGTCTTTGATCTACAGTTTCGTCGCACGGGGGACGGTGATCCTTGCAGAGTTCACGGAGTTCACGGGGAATTTCACCAGCATCGCCTCACAGTGCCTACAGAAACTCCCCGCTACAAATAACAGGTTCACCTACAACTGCGACGGTCACACTTTCAACTACCTCGTTGACGATGGATTCAGTAAGCACTCCTCCCGATCTATTCACTCATCTATTCATAAGAAGCTTAGATCTCAGTTGAATACGAAAATTATTCTTTTGATAAGTGGCCCTTGAATAATTATTTTGTTGGATAAGCGGTCATTTAATTCCAGGAGTAATATTATTTTAGATGAATCCAATTTTTGGTACTAAGAGGTAGAACTCAAATGTCAGTCAACGTGCGGACCCTGATGAATTCGTTCTACATCAGTTCAATTTTTTGTTATCTCGTGTTTGTTTTAGATAAAAGACAAATGCAATTGATGGAGTTTTAGAGATCTCACACTATTGATCTCTTCCATTTTTTTCGTTTTGCCCATATTGATTTTGTTTTATGTGCAATCTGGTTTGGATGAAGACGTGATAACCCCCTC